CAGCACCACCACCGCCACCACCACCACCACCAAGTACTTACTGTGCCACCTCATGTAATCTTCTAGGCGTTGTAGCCAGCACAGGACTTTGGGAGGGCAGAACCCTGCTCTCAGCACGTCTTCCCTGTGACCGTCCTCGTCGTCTCCTTCTCTCTCGTCATTGCTTGGTTATTTTGTCGACACTTCGTCATACTTTATAAGTGACTTTTGTGAATCTTAATTTATTCTGCTACCGCATTCTGAAGTAATTACAATGGTGATACCTTTTTACATTGTGAGACTAAGAGCTGGTAAGTTATATAGCTCGTCCTTCCCTATCTACCATAGACTTAGATTTCCTACCACAGAGGGAGGAGATTGGAAAAGGGACAGAGATTCCACTGATTTCATCCATGCATCAAGTCCAGAGGCCCACTCAGAGCTTTGTATTACCCTGGCAATTCCAGCTCGTTAGTTCGTAGGTTGTATTAGGGAATCTGAATCACAGTTGTTTTTCCCCACTTTGCCTATAATTCCTTGTTCTTGCTGGGCCTTCCTTGAAGAGGTGGCATTATTACCGTGTTGTGTGATTTGGAGAAGTTGCAAAGGGGAGGGAGTGTTACAGAGACAGAAAAGTCTCTCAGAGGCCAGAAGTTCAAAGAGGCTGTTAGGGCTGGTCTAAACAGCCATCCGAGCTGTCAGTCAGGGATGGGGCGTGAACACTAGATACTGAAACGGGGACAGTAGGGTCACAGGTCTGGAATCTTCAAGTAAAACAGTTCCTGTATTTCTTATACCTGGTGAGCTTCTGACTGTGTTTGAGGTGGGAAGAGTGAGCTTTTTCCCCTTAGCAGGGTTGACCTGCTGCACAAGTAGCCTGGCAGGTTTGGGAGGGAGGATGTGGGCACAGGAGCAGGCCCGGGTAGAAGGGAACTGAGAGGCACCTGGCAGCTCTGAGGGCTGGGTTATAGAAGGTGTCTCCTCAGGGGGCAACTGGCCAGGGCATTGTTACCCTGGCGTGTCTCTGGGTGATACCCCTTTGTGGACGATCCAGACTCTGCCCATTTCAGGAGAGAGGCTGCCTAGGGACACTACTGGATCACAGATTCCCATGGTCTCCCTGGCCCCTTGCCACTTCCTCGGATTTTCCTTCCGAAGAACCGAGTTTTCAGGGTGCTTGACTTCTGAGCATTGCTCTTTTTTCTCCGTGGCCCTCTTGCCTGCCGTTGCGGCTGCTCTCCAGATCGCTGTATTTGACGTCCTGCCATGGTGGTCCCTCCTATCCTGTGCTTCATACACAGCTTATCACTGTCAGCTTATTACATCACAACATCCTCTGAGCATGCCTCATGCAAGGTCTTGGCCTGCTAAAGAAGCAGAGAGCTGCTGAGACCCCACAGCTTCCCCGTCTGGGAGATAAGGCTCATGCCCTACGCCCCCATACCCTGCATGTTCATCTGAGTCATTTTATTCCGTCTATAGCCAGGCTTTCATATCCCTTTGTCTCCTCTCTGATTCCTCCCATGACACACTCCATCATCAGAGCAACGCTGTTGGCTTGGGTCCTGAATTCTGGTGATCATTCATCAGGTCCCACTGGCCTTGAGGGAACATAGTTTATTCATCTTGTAAAAGCAAGCAATTCTCTCTGGAAAAACCTGGAGTGTCTATCTAGATAGAACATTAAAGATATCTCTTTGTCCATTCCCTGAGGAAAAACAGTAGGCTCTTGGCTCTCTTATGATCAATCCTTTATATCTGCAGTCACCAGAAGAGAGTCAGCAGGAAGGTAAGACCAAGTGCCTCCTAGGCTTGGCTCACATCTGAAGGTATTTATGACCTGGCAAGATTCAAGAAACTCATTCTGGCCTGGACCTCACTATATCCTGCAGGGTAAAGTGGTCCAGTGCCAGGGATGAATCCAGAGGTTCTGATCAGCATACACTGCAAGCCCGTATATGACCATTCCGCATCTGCCCTTGTATTTGATATTATTCACCTTCAATCCACACTGCTCTCCCCTCCACCATGGTTTTTGCTGTGGATCATATCCACCTCCAAGGCAGCTTATTTCTCCATCCCACAAATGTGCGCTGAGCATCCACCATGTGGCAGCTACTGTTCTGATCCCACAGGGTAGAGTATCAAACAAAACCACAGCCAGTGCCTGCTTTCAAATGGTTTGCATCCCAATAGGGGCAGGGAAGCAATAAATAACACAAACATCTGTGTCAGTGGTATCACACACTAAAGGTTGTCCACAGGGTAAAAGGCACAGTGGGCAGAGGGCATGCTATTTTCACAGGGCTGTGGAGACACGTGGGAGGGTGTCTGAGCAGAGACCAGATGGGTCCTGGGAAAGGCAGCTCTGCAGGTGGAGGGAAATCTGATTGAAGAAAGGCCTCGAGGGTGTGGTGATTTGGTCTGTTCAAGGTAGAGGCGAGAAGAGGTGGAGGAGGGTACAGAGGCGTGAAAGGGTCCAGGGATGGGGTCATGAAGGGCACGCTGGGGCAAAATTCAAATTTTGCTCTGACTTAAGTATGATGGTGTTTGGGCAGAGGAGATACAAACTGATGGATTTAAATATATTCCTGGCTTCTGAGAGGGGGAGGTGTGAAGGATAGTATGTGCTGGGGGCTGCAGCAGTGGACAAGGGGTGAGCTGATGGTGGGTAGGATGAGGTGTGCTGAGCCCCCAGGGCTTTGGTTTGACCAGCCTTATGCCATCTTTTAAACCCTGGACCCCTTGGGTGGCCCTGCTTGGTCCAGGACCCTCAGGCCCTTTGGGGCTCTCTGCTGGCCCCTGCCTCCCTCCAGCCATGTGCTTCCGTTAATCTTGGTGTATGGTGATGCCTTGTTCGCATCTGTTCTGAGCACTTACCTCTGCTGCATGCGGTTGCTCTATAAGAGGCTCTTCCCTCGAACATCACTTCAGAAGGTCTCCTTTGCAGTCTTCCCAAGCCCTGCACAGCAGCCTCCTATCTCCATCACCTCTGCATTCCGCCCTCAGGCGGTGTTTATTGGGTGTGTTGCAGTGGCACAGTTCATTCCTTGTCGCCCTCAGAAGCCAGGAGTCCTGCGTGGACGGAGCCCACGGCTTTGTTCTGTTGGTGCCCGCCCCCCCCTTGCTTTCAGAGAGGAGAATGGAGTGTGGGTGAGCAGGCAGGAGAGAGAAGCACATGTACGGCCTCCACTCACCGACAGCAGGCTCAGCCTATCCGTTGAGGCTTCAGGGACTCCATTGGAAGGAACTCAACCAAGTTTCTCTCCTGTGCAACCCTAAAATCTGTGTGTCCTTAACAAATCAGCACGCCTGATGGTGGTTTCTGGAGGACTGCCAGCTCTCGCGCTGTGTGGACTGTGTGCTCCACTGCGTGTGTTTGCAAGCGTGCTGCTGTGGGGAGGTGACGGGTGAGAGCAGCCAGGGAGCTCAGCAAACACCGAGTGCTCATGTGGTACAGGAGGAGGACGAAGGGAAGGGAAGGAAGATGACAGGAGGACAGGAGGCCGAGGACAAAGAAGAGTGGGCGAAGGAAGACAGGACGGAGGCAGACAAAGGTCAGAGAAAGCTGCAGCCAGGCTGGGCTCAGTGTGAGGAGAGGCAGGCCTGATGTGCGTGGAGGACGGGGTTGTAGCACGACTGGGGCAGAAGTGGAGGAGCAGAGGCCAGCGTCACTCAGTGGGAGCATTTTCCAGCGTCTTGCAGCTGTTCTAACAGCACTGTCCAAGCTTAGCGAATAGTTCAGGACCACTGAAATATTCAGGGGAACCGGCTGCATCTCAACTGTACCCCATCCAGCTGTGTAACAAGCAAGCTTGGTTTCTATACCCGCTGAGCCTCGAACACCTGCCACACAGGGGCACAGGGTCCTCTTGCTGAGTAGATTAAATGGGACTATCTAGGAAGAGCTAGAAAAATTTTCCTCCAAAGCTATCTTGAGATATGTAGGTTTTATAAAGTGTCCTTTTATTTCATCAGGAGGAAGTCCAGGAACAGGGTAATAAAACAAAAGAACTCACAGTCTGTCACTCAGCAGACCCTGTTACGTTCTTTCTGTTCACCGAATACATCAGTGCACATCCCGCCCTGTTTAAGCATGGCTTCTGAGGTGAGGGTGCCTGTGCCCATGTCAGCAGAGCTCCAGTGTGCACACTGCACAGATTCTAATCACTGAGGGGTGCACACAGCCTCACTGACCCACTTATCCATGGGGTGGGGGACTGTCTAAATGCATCCAGTCTCACCCTTGGGTGAGCACTATATGACTGTGTAAGTCAGAGGGGGGGAATCTTTCCACATAGTCCTGTAGGATGCAGCCCAGGCATGTTGCTTTTAAAAGCAAGACTTGGAAACAAATTAGGTGTGATGCTACAGTTTATGAAGATTAAATGAGGAAGCGTGTGTATGTGTGTGCGAGAGAGATTGTGTGTGTGTGTGTGTGTGTGTGTGTGTGTGTGTGTGTGCCCATATTCTCTAGAGACATTGAACACCATCTGATCTGTTAGGAAAGGAACTGAGGGGTAAGGGCAGGGTAAGATGCTCCTAGGCAGGACTGGAGAGACTGCTCAGTGGTTAAGCAAACTGACTGCTCTTGCAGAGGACCCAGGTTTAGTTCCCAGCCTCCATGTGATGGCTAACAGCCATTTGAAACTCCAGTTCTGGGGAATCTGAAGCCCTCTTCTGGCCTCCATGGGCATTGCATGACACGGGTGCACTTATGTACATGAAGGCAAAACGCTCATATGCATAAAATTAAAATAAATTACAAAATTTAAAAGAAGATATCCTTACTCACTGCACCTTGCTCTCCAAGGAATTCGGTCCACGCACTCTTGTAATGTCAGTTACAGAGAAAGGAACCAAAGCTGACCCCCCAGACGCATAGCAGCAGGCCCTTTGATGATCCTACATTACTTCTCTGTAAGGCGCTCCTGGCTGGACAGGATTTCCAGAGAAACGTTACTGCGCGGGCTTTGAGCGATGATGGTTTGTGCTAACTTTGCCTTCCCTTCTGCACTCAGGGGAAGAAAGGTGACGTTGGTCCGCCAGGACCTCCTGGAGCGCTGGGCCCACAGGTAAGGACTGCCTTCAGACCCTCCATGTTGCTGTCTCTGACTCGGTGACCAGCTAGCAGCTCTCCACTTACAACCAGCATCTTGGTAGTGACCACCATCAAAGCATTGACAGAATGGCCACCGGTTCCATCCAGTTTCCTGAAAAGTAAGGCTCAGAATGACAAATATGTTTTCTCTCATATGTGGAATCCTGTTTACACATACACATACATACACACGTGTACACACACATGCACACGTACAAAATGATAACAAAGGGAGCCATTTGGAAAGAGGAGAGGGACTAGTTAGTAGGAGGTGGGAAGGGGCAGGAGAGCATAATATGGATGAATATGGTCAAAGTATAGAATATGGTTGAGCAAAATTAACTCCATGAAATCCATCACTCTGTAAAATGAATACACACTAATAAATATTTAAAAACACAATTATAGAAAACAAATGAACCAGCAGAAAACAGACAAAAACCAAAAGGTCACTAGGTCACCTGCCCTTTCCTCCCTCCGGTGTAAGAGCTGGGCAACATGGTGAGCTCAGGCCAGCCTAGGCTACAGAGTGAGACCCCAGTTCAAAAACCCGTAAGATCACCTGATGTGATAAAATCCGTAGTGTTCGTGAAGATGTTGCAATGAGGTGGGATGGCTGGCCTGCTCATCGGTAGCCCCTGCAGTGCTGTGCAAGGCTAACCTGTCTCAAAAAATAGATGGAAGGAAACATTCCATATTAATGTAGTTCTATTAAAGTATTTAAACTGTGGGTTTTCTTCTTTACTGTTATCTCTGGTTTCTGCCTGGCAAAGTACATTTCTTTCTGTGTGAATTTTGAGGCCTTTTTCTTCCTGCAGCTCTCTACTGAATACCAGGTGTTGCTGAGCTGGGTGCTATAAACACATGTCACAACCTTTCCCCAGGAGATTTGTCAGCAACACTGCATGTTTATTGATTGGCTAAGGGGCTGCAGTGTTCAAACTAGGTACTGCCTGGTGAACGGATTGGGTCAGCAGGCCATGTGGTATGGAATTTTTAGTAGGTACTGCCCAGTTCCCTGGACTGGGTCACCAGGCCATATGGAGTTTACAGTAGGGCATGGTGAGTGGTGCCTTGATTGGGCAAGAAGGTCATGTGTTACGGAGTTTACAGTTGGTATTGTCTGGCAAATGACTGGGTCACTGCTGTTGGACACAAAGCCTACTTCAAGCCAGCCATGCCTACACGAAGAGGCAGAGTTGGTCTGGCTCTCTGCCATTCTCCCCTCTGGCTCTCCCTGATGCACGTGTACCCTACCATTCCTGGCCTGACCTTTTCTTTCTCCTGCTTGGCATCCATGTGTTCATCCTGCCCCCCCACCCCCATCTTGACTAATTCTTCTCCATCCTGTATTTCCTAAGTACCTAGTGTATACCAAACTCTACTCTGGAGGTATATGACCTAAATAGCCAGAATCTATCATCTGAGGACCCAGGTGCCAGTGGAACGGGAAGAGACGTAGGCGGAGGAGATATCTTACTGCCTTCCTGGATTCTCTTTGTATCCAGGTAGGCAGGACCAACAGATGAGGAATGACAGCACCAACAGGACAGTTCCCCACAGCTCCCATTGCGGTTGTGTGGCGTGTATACAGGCTGTGTCGGTGAGCCCTGGAGTGGGCTCTGGGTAGACGGAGTCCAGGGAGGCATGGGTAAGAGCCGTTACTGTGGTTTTCAGGAAGAACAGGGACCCAGCCGCTGAAGACTGGACAGGTGGAAACATTCCGGCTTTCTCTGAGTATTGACGTACCCTTTTGTATCTTGTGGTTTGATCCTGGAGTCATTTGGTACAGCAGATGATTTGTACAGTGATCATGATCTAGTTGTAGGACTCTGATGAAAGGCAGGGGACCAAGGCCTGAACTAAGGATTGGTTGGCAGAGAGAGGTCTTGCTCCCAGGGACCTAGTTAGCTGTGTCTAGGAATTAGCTAAGCATAAAAATGAAGCCCACGTTACCAGCTCCACATTGTGAACAGGTGTGAAGCTTTTCAATCTTGAAATTGCAATTAATGGTTGAATTCTGCTTTCCAGTCAGACAATCTGTTTTCGTTCAGCTGAAATCAGGGTAGGAGCATAAACATTCTTCTGCAGCTTTTGTGGCTGCCATTCAGTATTGTGTAAGCTCACCTTCTAAGTTCTGCTGTGACACTGAGCTCCACGTGTTAATTATTATTCTATAATCTCACCACTTGTAGGAAATGGCAAAATTAAACATTTTTATTGTTGAAGTGGTACATTTTACTGCTGATAAAATTACTTCTGATGGCCAGGCTTGACAGTATACACCTTTAATCCCAGCATCCCAGAGGCAGAGGCAGGCAGATGAGTGTCAGGTCAGCCAGGGTTACACAGTGAGACCCTTTCTCAAAAAAAAAAAAAAAACTTCTGTGACTTTAGACAGGAGGGCATGCATTGCCTGAGAAAGGTGGCTTACTTAAAATATAATTTTCCTCTTTTCTGAGATTGGCTGTAAAACAACCGGCACACTGTTCCCGTTTGGCTCTACCAGGTCCTCCAGTTCCAGTCAGGCTTTTCCGAAAGCAGTGGACCATGAGAACTAAGTGTGCCCACCCATGCTATCCTTTGAGGGGAGTGTTCTAAGGAAAAGGGTGTCTGTGTGGGATCTTCCCACCTTATGCACAGGTGGTGCTTGGTGCTCTGCAGTGTGAGGACCCTCAGGAGGGAACGAAGCCAGGGAGCGGGTTAGCGCCAGAGCTGGGTAGGTGTGTGTGCTCATAGGCCTGTGCGGAAAGTCCCCAAAGGGGCAGAGATCACATTTACCCCTCAAACTTCTACATCCTAGGGAAAGACGAGTTGTAACCACCTTTCCCCAGGAAATAAATGTCTCACCTGCTTAGGAAATTAATTTGATTTCTGTGCTATTCTATGCAGACAGTTTTCATGTGTCTTCAAATTCTGTCCCACTTCATACATGTACTCCAGTTAGAACTACAGTGATAGAAGTAATTATTTGCTATTTCTTTATTAATGATACTTAGATTAATTGGCTATTTATGTATCATCATTGTGACTACTAATCACATTAGATAGCTATTTAGTCGCCGTGTCAGGATCAAATACTGCTTCATTAATAATAATTGGACTGATTATTTAATTAATATGTAGAGTCATTGCTTAGTTGTTTCCATTAGTGGTAATTAAAACAGGCAAGTATTTTGTTACCATTTAGATCTGTTGGCTAATTTGTCACTCTCATTAATAGTCTGATTAATTAGCTAGAAGTCTTCATTAGTGTTCAAAAGAGAATGAGAAGTAACATTTGTGAAGTTCTCCCAGGTTCTGGGCTGGTTTACATGCCACCTTGGAGTCCAACATCATGATCTACCTTACTTATACTACATTTGGAGAGATGATGGTTTGCAGGCAAAGTTCACTGAGCTACTAGACGGTGCTAGAATTTGACCAGGCCATTCTAAACTAAAGCCGTAGATGTTTTTATTTGCTGGCTGTGCTGGAGAATCAACCCAAGGCCTTGCATGCAGCAGGCAGGCACTGCACCACAGAGCTCTATCCTCAGCACCAAGCCTGCTTCACACCAACTCTAGTCTATCCATGTCTTTGCGCTAATAAGATGAATCACTTGCCTGCAGCATCTTGGGAAGCTGATGACGCTGATAGATTTTGCCCCCCTCTCTCCATCCTCCTTTATCCCCATCCCTTTCTTAAGACGCTAATATCTTCATCTCTGAAAAGGGATGGGAACATGGAACATCCTTGGTCTCTTAGGCATTTCTTTTGGTTGGGAAAATGGGGAGAGGAAGGGGAATTTCTGTCCCTAGAAAACTTACATGCCAGATAGGTACCTGTAGGAAAATGAAATAGAAGACAAGATCTTTTGTTCCATCTTCTAGGTTTATATGGACGTCCACCAGTTGGGTATTGATACAAAAATGGTAATTCTGTTTTGGAGATTGTTCAACTTGACTTTTAGGAGAAAAGATATGTGCAATGAAGGTACTAATTTGAGTTAACCAGAAGGTCAGGTGCAGTTTGAGATCATTCTTAACCTCTCTTACAGAGTTTCTCATATTTAGAAAGTGCAAACATCTTGCTTGGAGAGCCTGGCCAGCAACAGTGGATGAACCAGCAACTCTGCACACGGTCCGTCTTACTTCATAGCACTCCTCCTCTCCTTCGTATACCTTATATTCTTTCTCTCTTCCCCCAAAGACTCTCCAACCCACATCAAAACCGAACCCGCCCTTCACTATGTCAGTCACAAACCTGTCCCTTCCTCCACAATACCTCCTGTCTCCACTAGAGCCCTTCTTTGTGTTAGCCACTGCCATGGACCCAGGCCCCTATCCGGGAGTCACCAGGTCACAGGACTCTGCAGTCAGCCCCCGCCCGCATCCTCTCCTTCATCACCTTGCCCTAGTGCCAGCCCTGTGCCTTCCTGCCTGCTCCTGCCTTTTCTGCTGCCTGCTGGTCTCCTCTCAGGGCCTCAACTCACCGGTAGATGAGTAGATGGTGAAGTCTGTCTCTCTACACTTACATCTGCTCAGGCCACTCTTTTAAAGGACTTTGGGTGTTTTGTTCCTCCGTCAAAGACAAAGCCTGACCATTTTAGCCCAGATGCATTATTCTGTCCCGGGCACCCTGAGCTGCTCGTTGCCATCCTTGGATGATCACTGGACCTTGGCTCATCCACTCCATCCACTCGCAGTGCGCCTATCTTCTCTCCCACTCCCATGTGTTCAGGCTACAGTCGACCCCTGAGATGTTCCCCACTACGCCTCCACCCGGCAGGTATCACTCCAGGGCAGCTTTGCCATTCAGTTTTAATTAGAGTCGTTGAGTACTTCTTGAACTCTTCCACATGTGGGAACCCATGGCTTTTCTGCAAAGCAACTCCGCAAAGAAAATAGTTTACCTACTATACATTTTCAGAGACTGCATGCCTTGCTGCCAGTAACACAGCTGCTCCAGATTTAAGCCATCTTTAACGTCTTC